GAACCCTGTAGCTTTGGGGAGGCAGGATATTTCTTTGCAAATAGAAAGCCTCCACACTGATCAGTCCATTCCTGTCTCTTATTTCCTACTTAGAGATCTCCTGCAGTCTCACCTTCACCATGAAAGGGAAGCACAGGGACAACATTATTCTCACATTCCCTGAGGCAAAGCCATGGCCACTGATGTGTCAACGGCCTGAGTGGCTCTCTTTGGCTCTGACCTCTCTGCTATTAGTGCTGCTGCTCACTGCGTTATGGTTTTCAGTATGGCCTTTTTCTGTGGTAAAGTAGGAAAGGGATCAGGAAACTTGGAACCAAGACCTGGCTGGTGAGGGGAGCTGCTCAGCTTTATAGGGCATCAGCTTTTTACTCTGTAAAACTGGGGTAAATAATACATGCTGATTTTTAGGACAGTGAAAATACTCTGTATGATACGATAGTGATGGACACATGTCATTTTACGTTTGTCCAAACCCATAGAATGTACAACAAACACAAAGAGTGCATCATAATGTAAACGGTGGACTTCAGGTGATTGTAATGTGGCACTAGGTTCACCGGTTGTAACAATGTTCCACTCTGGTGGGGAATATTAATAATGGGTGAGGCTGGCTATGCATATGTGGGTGTGGGTGTATTAGGTAAATCTCTGTACCTTCCCCTCAATTTTGCTGTAAACATAAAACTGCTCTTTAAAAAGTTTTAATTGAAAAAGAAGATACTATTTCTCTATCTTAGGATTGTCAGGGATTAAATGAGAAAATAATAAGGAAAAGACTTTGAAAATGTAAGCTACAAACATAAAGATCTGTTTTTCTGAACTTAACCTTTTATAAGGTTATGGTTTTATAAGGTCATTTGTAATGATTTGCATTACAAATTCTTAAGTCAAAAAACATGTCTCAAAATCTGTCCCTATGATGTAGTAACTTAATAGGAGTTAGGGAAGATACTGAAAAATCTAAAATCACTTCATTCTTAAAACCAACCTGAGGAAGGCAAGGAGAGTCAGAGACTCATTTTCTGTATTATTTTAATTTATCCCATCAAATATGTATTACTTTTATAATTTAAAGAAATCAATAAAGATTTTTTGCAATATAGTCAAAACTAGAGCTAGAAATTGGAAGTTATCTGCATACAAGGCTGAAAGCTGGAGCAAAGAGAACAAAGATTATAGAAAAATGATCAATTGAAGAAGCAGCCAGATTGGCAAATTGGAGCCATGTTGTTAAAACTATTGAGTGTCAGATTAAGTTTTAAGTGATGCGAGCCATTGAAAGGTCTGGAGCAAGGGATACTGTAATCAGAGTAGTGAGTGTTTAATTCCCAGGAGAGTGATTTAAGAATAATATACAGGATGAGTTGGGGGAAGAAGAGGCAAATTGGAGAGATGAGTGAGTTACCACTGCAGGCATCCTAGAACAAGTTACTAAGGGCATGAAGCAGGATGTTGGCTGAGAATATGCAAAAAAAAAAATTTAAATTAAATTATAAAAAGATGAGTATCAGATATTTTGAAGAAAGTGCTCCCATAGGCTCATGATTAGTTTACCTGAGGAATAAAGGGAAAAGAGGTGAGTCAATAGGAAACAGAAGCCAACTTAAAAGGCTCCCAGAGGCCAAAGCTAGAACAAGTTGAGCAACTTGTTATCAGTATGATGATATTGGATTATAGCCCTAAAAGAAAATAAATATACATTAATCCATACTGATATAAATAAATGACTGGATAAGTGAATAAATAAACTGGAAAGAAGGGACAAATTATTCATTTAGAATATAATTTTTATGTATGAAAAGTTATTTATTAAAATGTATTAAAAAGTTTTATTTGTAGAAAGAATAAGATAAGTTTTAAAAATAGCTTTAGAACATCTATATAATAAAAGGGTAATATGCAAATTGATCCTAATGGCAGAACAACCAGAATGACCGCTGGACCAGTCACTATAAGGTACACTGACCACTACTTGGTCCCTTTCCCCGGCCAGCAGGCTATGATTTACCTACTGGCCACCCGAGGCAGGGGCGGGGCCTGTGAGCGGGTGGGAAGAGCCGACCTCTTGGTCCCTTCCTCTGGCCGTCAGGCACCGATCACCCAATGGCTAATGGGGAACCAGGAGTGGGTGGCAGTGTATGGGGGAGGAAGGGGGGTCAGCTGCAGGCAGCTGGGGAAGATGGCCTTGATCGCAGGCCAGGCCTAGGGACCGTACCCGCACATGAATTTCGTGCGCCGGGCCTCTAGTCGTAGTACTAATTGCTGCTGGCACGATCCACTGAAAGCCAAAGGGCTGAGGCCCAAAGCTCAAGAAGTAAAGAGAACCTTGACCAAAAGGAAGGCCCTGCCGTTTTCTGGCTGCAGAGTCAGCGAGGCGTCCTGGGTCAAATGGTCCTTTTTTTTCTTTCTGACCTAGGAAGACATTCTGTTTCCCAAATCCCACTGTTGCCCAGAAAGTTAAGCCTCACAGAAAATGAAGTAAACTGAATTTATTTATCCTGTTTTCAACTTTTACCTGAGATAGAGAGTAATTTGTGTATTAAAGTTAGGCATTAAACAGTATGACAGAATGATTTCTACAGGGTGTATGTGTAATAAAAGCTACCCTTTATTGACTACTTATCATGTGTCAGGGACTGTGTGTATATTATCCCATTTAATCCTTCCAACAACACTATGCGATGAGTATATTATTTTCCTCATGTTAAAGATTACAAAAAAAGACCCAAAGAGATTAGAAATTTGATAGGGATCACACAGATAAAGGGGGAAATAAGGGATTTCAGTAATACTGACCAAAAATATCACACAGATAAATGGCATAGTTAGGACTTACTCCAAAACTCACTTTTTACATATATATATATATATATATATATATATATATATACATGTATATATATGTATATGTATATATAAAAGAAAAACACAAGGGGCGAGGCTGGGGGATGTAAGTGTTCTAGTCTGATTAGATGGAGCTGGTTGTCCCAGTCCTGCGCCCTGACCAGGAATCAAACCGTGACCTCCTGGTTCATAGGTCAATGCTCAACCATTGAGCCATGCCAGTCAGGCCAAAACTCACTTTTAACCACTGCTCTATACTACCTCTTACAAACACTCACATACGTGTGTGCACATGGACACACGAGAACGTGGCTGTGTGCCAGGAGGTTAACATGGGATATAACTCTGGATGGTATGACTAAGGGTGTTTTTTAAAATATTCTTTTGTTCTTATCTTGATTTTTTAAAAATATATTTTATTGTTGTTTTTTTTTACAGAGAGAAAGGGAGAGGGATAGAGAATTAGAAACATCGATGAGAGAGAAACATCGATCAGCTGCCTCCTGCACACCTCCTACTGGGGATGTGCCCGCAACCAAGGTACATGCCCTTGACTGGAATCAGACCTGGGACCTTCAGTTTGCAGGCTGACGCTCTATCCACTGAACCAAACCGGTTAGGGCTTATCTTGATTTTTATAGTAAATGTATTCCTCTTGAATTCATAAAAATAAATCAGTATTTTATTTCATTTATGTAAGTTTTAAATTTGGGTGCTCTTTGCCAAAATTCTGTAATACCCATGATGGGGACAAAACAGGTGCATTCTGCTCAACTGCAGACAAAGGAGACGCTACCTTCTCTGCAGCAGTACAGGCTCTGCAGTGACCGGATGGAGAATCTGGCATGTGTGTGTGCGTGCGTGCGGGTGTGTGTGAGTGCAGCGGCTGCGGAGGTGAGGGAGGAGCTCTCTGAGGATGTGCCAGAGGATGTGAGGAAAACGCTTTCCTTCCCCTACAGCCACCTTGTCCCTGAGCCAGGCCCATTTAGCCCTGAGCATCCAGGGGTACTGGAGATATTTTTTGCACATACCAAGATCCTCAACTTTACCCTTTGTTGAAAATCTGGCCAGGGAGCCAGGCTGCTGGCATGAAGCACAGGCTGCAGCCATAGAGAGTGACTGGAGTCATTATGGAGCTACTTCAGGCCATGCAGGATGTGATCCAAGCAGGCAGTTGGTATGAAGAACGGGCAGAGAGGAAACAGCAGCATTTCAGGTTGGCGTTAACCAACAGGTGAAGCTCTTGTCCAAAGCTTCAGGTGGAGACGATTCAGGACCCTGGATAGCTCCTGGAGAGAGGTCCAGTCCTCCCCAGGCCTGAAAAGCCTAGCTGTCTGAATTCCTAAGGCCCTTGCTTATTTCATTTTAAACAGCCGTCCTGCACATGTCTCTAGCTGTGACATGGCCTGCCCGCTCCTCTTTTGAAGTTAAGCCCTATGGATCCAGGGACTCCCCCTTACTCCCTCTAGCCCCTGTCTCACCTTCCCTCACAAACATCTAGTCTGACTGAGCTCTCTGTTGAGGTTACCATCACTCTGAAGGTGAAATAAGCTTTCAAGACAACCATGTCAACTCCTGAGGTGCGCTTAGCCAGGGCCTGACACCTTGATACCTCAAAGCTGTAAGTCTCTGCGGGGAGGGTGAGAGTAGCGGAACACGGGAATGGGAAATGGGCCTTTGTCTTTAGTGCCCCTGCACTGCCCTCTTCAGTGTGAGAGTGAGGAGTATGAGGCAGGGGAAACTAAAGGGGAATACTGAGCAAGTTTCAAGGCCTGGAGCTACAACTTTGCATCACTGTACCTTTGGCCTGTCATTGGGAATACACTTGATTTAAAGACATCATTTTTAGGGGAAGGACATTGAAAATAAGGTAAATTCACTCATTTTAATTGTACAGTTCAATGAGTTATGCCCATGTATATAGTAATGTAACTGTCAGCAATTTCATTCTAAGGAGTTCCCTGACCTCCTCCCTAGCCATACACATGGCCCCTAGAGAGAGGGGAGTTAAATTACCACAGTAGAGGGGTCCTCCCCAATTCCCCCAAATCATCTAGAGGAGAAGTATGTGTATGAGGAGTCTGGAAGGGCAGAGGAATCATAATCATTTACCAGGGATTTGATTTTTTAGTTGAAATTTCCTCCTCTACCTCCAGGCCTCTTCCATGGCTAAATGAATCGGAACCAGCAAATGAAATTACTATGCTCTCACTTTGATTGACTGCCTGGTGAGTGAGGAGGAAGGTAAGTCTGCCTAAATTGAAGCTGAGTGAAAAAACTCAGGATCCCATCCCTGCCAAGCAGCCCTGCTCTGGGCCTTGTGCAAGGCTCTCTTCCATTGCTTTCTTCACCTTTTAGAGGCTCGGGGATCCCTTATCGAAGGCAATCTCTGAGCCCAAAGGCCATTTGACATGCCTTATACCTCAAAGAACTTCCTGGCCAAAGAAATGGGTGTTAAAGCAATAGCGCAACTGCAGGCAGGCTCCCTGTCTTAGCACCAGCCAGTCATAGTGGGACAGGAAAGAGCAGGGAGGAGAAAAGAATATCTGGTGTTTCCTAAGCTACAAGTGGACCTATCAGAGTTTGGGCTGGAAGGACTAGGGTTGCCCTTACCCCTGACACTCCTGGAGATGGGAACATTAACAATGTAATAATTAATTTATTGATGGAAAAATGCTCAGAGGATCTGGATCCAGACTGTATCTCAACCTTGCCTCTAGAAATAGTGTATTCCAGCTTCCAGGAGAGGCCCTTACTATGGAATCAAGCACAGGCTTTTGATACACAAAGAAGCCTAGAGAAAAAAAAGAGAACAGATGAGGACTCTGTCAGATTCCCAAGAGAGTTGTTTGTGTTGGTTTTGGTTAAAGTAGAACAGGCCTAACCTGATCCACAGTTTGCTTTTGGCCTGTTCTCTCAGGGGCAAAGGTGCCCACCCCCTCCACATCCCCCATGTTTGCCTTCCTTACAGCGGATGCTCTGCAGTCATTGTTTTATTTAGGAGCAGTGATTATGTGACCACAAACCTTACTAAATTGAATACAATCCTGAGCATTCAAGAGAAGAAACATTTCAGGACTCAAGGGAGGGAACAGCTGGCTGGAAAGAAGGGCCCATGAATTCTAATCCCAGGACTGCCATCTGGCATTGACCTGGGACAACTCATTTACTTTCTGCCCTGGAGGCTCTTTTAGAATCTCAGGGTCTGAATAAAAACAAACCTGTGAGCTCAGAGAGTGAAATGATCTGTCTAGACCAGGGGCCCTCAAACTTTTTAAACAGGGGGCCAGTTCACTGTCCCTCAGACCGTTGGAGGGCCGGACTATAGTTTAAAAAAAACTATGAACAAATTCCTATGCACACTGCACATATCTTATTTTGAAGTAAAAAAACAAAACGGGAACAAATACAATATTTGTATTTGCACGTGGCCCGGGGACCGTAGTTTGAGGACCCCTGGTCTAGACCAGCGGTTCTCAACCTGTGGGTCGCGACCCCTTTGGGGGTCGAACAACCCTTTCACAGGGGTCGCCTAAGACCATCGGAAAACACATATATAATTACATATTGTTTTTGTGATTAATCACTATGCTTTAATTAGGCTCAATTTGTAACAACGAAATTGGGGATCACCACAACATGAGGAACTGTATTAAAGGGTCGCGGCATTAGGAAGGTTGAGAACCACTGGTCTAGACTCTCAAAGTCAGTGCCGTTCACAGGCAAAACCAGAATACACAGGCCCACTCTCTAGCCAGAGGTTTTGATTACTGTTCAGGGAAGTTTCTTGTGTTTTCCTTTGCCATCACCTTACCCTTATATCTGCACTCCCAGGAGCTACCCTGCTTCATAAACATCCCACACTATCAAAAAGCTCTTTGAACAAAGGATCGGAGCAGCCCTATTTCTCTATCCCTCCAAAGGATTTGCTGATCAGTTAGCTTCTAAGATGCTGCCCACTCCTCTAATACTCAACAATGAGTGAGACCTTATTCATATAAAGGCCCAAGTAGGAGTCCATATCTGATCTGCAAGCAAAATCAGAGCTTGGCCTTTGAGTCACAGAGAAAGCTCTGTCTGCTCAGCTGGTGATTAGTCCCCAGAAGTTGACCTGGGGCTGAGCTGCTGCTTTGGCCATGGACCTTAGTGGGGTTTAAATTAGGCCAAACCTTCAAGTAAGCAAGTGAGTGAAGGTTTTGAGGACTCCTGCGCTGGCTGTTCTCCAGAATAATTTCCTGGAAGGTAATCTTTCAGCCCCTGGCCAGAGGCTTACATAGATGAAGTGGCACTACCAGAAGTACACAATGCAACATCTATCTGGGACACCATTGGACAAACCCCGGCGCAGCCTGACAGGCCACCGGCCTTTCACCACCTCTCTGTTACAGGAATATCATTGCTGTGGCTTCAAAGTAGAAGGAAATCTGTTTATCTGTTATAAGATTATGGCCCTTCATTCTCTATGCTAGGCACTGGGAGGATACAGTGGGGAAAGGCATGGTCCCTGCCTTTATGAAGATTTATGAAACAAATAATTATACAAGTAATCATTTAAGTAAAATTTGATACATATATGAAAGAAATGTATGGGAGGGAGGGACTGTGAGAGTATATTATAGAGGGGCCTGGTATTGGTGGGAAACTTCTTTTAAGGGGTGATGTGTCACCCAAGGCCTGAAGGATGAGTAAGATCTAGCCATGAGGTGGGAAGGTAATCTACCAGGAGCAAAGAAGACTGGTGATACAAAGCATACTGAGGTGGGGGAAGAGTGTAGGAGATGAGGTTGGAGAAACAGAGGGGAAGGCGAGTGACTGCTTCTTTGCCACCATTCTTAGCTTAGTTTGAATGACTCCTTTACAAAAAAAGGGCTAGTTGAGACCCACTTAAAGTGCCATGGCATGCCCTTGGGGGAGGCTGGTGCTTGTTCCATCTCCATAGCACAGGGGACTCTCACAGGAATG